CCCCAAAACCCCAAAACCCCAAAACCCCAAAACCCCAAAACCCCAAAACCCCAGCATTCTAATGTATTTTGAAATAAAATTTTAAATTTATTATAAAAATTTCTTATTCAAAATGGAATCTAAGAAGTTCCCTTTGCTTCCTGGGTACGCTCCTACTCACGATCCTACTCTGGTAAATTGGAAGAAGACTTCTCACGTTAAGTTGGAGAAGAACTCTATGCCTACAACGAAGAAGGCTCCTATAGAGGCTATTCCAATTCCTATTCATACTGATTTTAACCCTGAGAAGACCCAAGAGTCCAAGAGTTTCAGCCAGTCAACCTACCAGAACCCTTTCGGAACAGGAGACATCACAGAGAAGTTTGCCCCAGCTTACCAAAAGCTAGACAAGCAAGTGCTCAAGTTCAATGGGTATTTCCAAGAAAGTGTTGTTGAAAGTGCAACTGAAAACTATCGAGTCAGAGTTGTCTCCATCTATTATTATCTCGAAGACTCCTCAATCATGATTTCCGAAATGAAGCAGACTAACTCAGGAACTCCTCAGGGCACTTTCCTTTGAAGACAAGTCGTTAATAAGCCAGGAGAAGAAGTCCCCATCGAGTTCGAAGACTTCAGGGTCGGCGAAACCATTAATATTTTCGGAAGAAATTTCAAGCTCACTGACTGTGATAAATTCACAAGGAATTACTATGCCAATGTAGGTATTGAGCAGCCTGGGCCAGAAGAAGTTCCAGTCGATTCATTCACCAAGTCGCAGGTCAAGCCAGCTCCAAAGAAAGACGCTGCCATGCTCGACTATCTGGAGCACACTCTTGGTGGTGGCAGAGTCAAGTCACAAAAGCAGTTCCTTGATAATGACAGAAAAGTATTGAGGTTCTTCACCTACAGTGACGAAGAACCCTATGTCATCCACTATTACCTTGCAGATGACACCATCGAAATCAGAGAAGTCAACTTCGCAAACAGTGGAAAGCACAGCTTTGCTCTTCTGTTGCGCAGACAGAAACTTCCAAAAGTATTCTCGGTGGGACAGCCAGGACTTGACACCAACGAAGAAAGCTACCTCACTGAAGACGAAATCAAGCCAGGAGATGCCATCATTGCATTCGGAAGAAGCTTCAAAATCACTGGAGTTGACGAGTTCACACAGAAGTACTACAAAAAGAACTACAACCAGCACTTCCCTCTGACAGACGCTTCGGGAGCAAGCTACGGAGACCACCCTCCTCCAGTGGCAAGGGCGGAGCCTCCTCCATACAATGGGTTCGGAGACGAAGAAGACACTCTGGGCTATGTCAAGAAGCTGCTTCCAGAGAAGCCGAAGAAAGACTTCTTCAAGTATGTTGACAACGACAAGAAGACTTTCAGATACACAGCCAGGTTCAACACCCAGATCCCTGAAGATGTCGACAGAAGGTTCATCATCTGCTTCTTCTTGGCCGATGACACCCTGAGCATCTTCGAGCCGGCACAGAAGAACTCAGGAGTTGTGGGTGGAAAATTCTTGGAAAGAAGAAAATACAAGAAGAAGAACGGAGAGTTCATCACTCCGAGCGACTTCGTCATCGGAGGAGATGTTGTCATCAATGCTCACTCCTTCCATATTCTGAACGCTGATGAGCAATAATCGAAAGTTGTCAATTAATCATGATTTTTGAGGGGTTTTGGGGTTTTGGGGTTTTGGGGTTTTGGGGTTTTGGGG